ACATGAGGTAAACTTGTCCTAGCATTTCTGGCTCTTCAAACTTTTGGATTCTTCCTGTACAGTATACAAGAGATCTGGCATCTCAACCTCAGTGAGGATAGGCCACTATTAAATGAGCCCATCAAAGAAACCGTTGAGAGACATAGCTATGAGCTAACACATTCAATTCAGAATCACTGCTAGGCACATGACACCAGTAATTCCAGCCTAAACCAAAGTTCTATTTTATTTCCCTGGGTCTCACATTCTTAGAAATGGCTTCCACACAGATTCCCTAGGTTTATTCCAATATAACTTAGAAAAATCCTGCCATTCTTTAGAAGGAGAGTCAGATTTGCACATAGCTGCCTGCAAAATGTTGGGATGACTCTAGTTATGGGTCTTTATGTGAATAAACATCTCCTTGCTAGAAGTTACCTGTTGTATCTGTCACTAGGCTTGGGTCTGATCTTCAGGAAGATTAATTTTCAGGCTCATATAGAAACTTTCTGGTTTTTAACTATGACTGACCTGCAAGCTTCAGCTTCAGCTTGTAGTTTTCTTTCTGCAAGTTCCTAGTATATCCAGAAGCAGCCATCACTCATCACAATCCCTTTTACTCCCCTACGGCCAGAGTCATTTGGTCCTCTATGGAACTTGAGTCCTTTGATGATGACTCCCTCACAATCAAACACAGGTGATAACTTAATCGATTATAGTATTACTGCCAGTCATCAATTACTGGTATTCCATTTCCCATGGTCAGAGAACTCAGCACAGCATGCAAGGCCAAGACATAACCAAACCCAGAATCTCTGATGCCTGAGACCCACTCCTGCTGCTAAATACTCCATCAGTCAGGTGTGGTCAGGAAAATCAGAGATTATAATACAGGTGTTGGAAAGCTGAGTAAGCAAAAAGGAATCCAGAAGTAACCCAGGAAAAATCACCGTAGGAACAGCTACCACCCCAAACACTGGAAAATGGAGGAGGTCAAGTTTATCTGAGCCTAAAAAAAAGGGCCGGGCCTTGCGGAGCTTGATTTTATTTGTTTACTTGACAGAGAGAGGGAGAGAAAGCACAACAGGCAGGGGGAGAAGCAGACTCCCCACTGAGCAGAGAGCCCGATGTGGGACTCGATCCCAGGACCCTGGGATCATGACCTGAGCTGAAGGCCAGACGCTTAACTGACTGAGCCACCCAGGTGCCCCTGGATTTTACTTCTAATGCATTCAAACCTTCCTTCTTCTTTCGTGCTTGTAAGTCCTATTCATCTTTAGAGTCTCAGCTTATACAGAAGGCAACCATAGTTTCCCAGTGATATCTTATATGGAATCATAATGGCCTGCTTACTTCTCCGTGTGCAGCGCTATACCGCAAGCACCATGAGGGTAGAGAATTTGTCTTCCTGCTAACAGTTACATTCTTAGCACCTGGCATTGTACCTTGGCACCTGCTCTCACTCTCTCTCTATGTTTATTTAACAAGGTAATCAGTGAACAGACCATCTACCTGGAGTGAGTCTTCCCTGGTCCACTTCCTCAGTGATTTCACGTATTCTATCACACTGTCTATAATTCATCGATTTAATTGTCTCCACACGGAAGGGGAACTTTGAGGACCAAGATAATTACTTATTACTCGAGAGTATCTTTCCAGTGCCTGGCACTCAATATATGTGCATTGCATGAATGAGCACATGAATGAATGAACACATGAATGAATGAATGAATGAATGGATGAAGCAACCAAATAGTTGGAGCTCAATGCAGACACACAGGTGTTATCTGCAAATGGATAGAAACTGAAAACAGTGAATTGAGGGGGAGGCAGAATGAATTCCTCCCCCGCTTCTCTCCTCTCTTTTCTCTCTCTCTTTGTTCCTTCCTTTCCATCTTTTTAAACATCAGTCAGCAATATTGGAAGCCACAGAGAAGACAAATCAGATAAAACAAAGATGACCAGTCTGTTCTGTAAACAGAGGTGACTGTAGAAAGAGTAGCTAGGTATGACAATTTCAAGCTGGCTGCAAAGAAGGGATAGCATTTTTAGAAGAAACTTGGTTATAAAGAGAAGGAAAAAAATTTGATCCCTATAGCTAGAGAAGAATATAATTTAAGGGAAAAACTAATAAAAAAGGCTATAAATAATAAGAAAATTCCAAGAGGAAGCACTTGAAGAATTACTTTGGCCACCCAAACAGAAACCAGGAGTTAGAGTTGAATGTAGACACAAGTTGAGAGAATGCTTCCCATGCCTTCATTTTCTCCAGGAAATAGGAAGGAAAGCGATCTATAAGAATGAGCCAGGAAGGGCTCGGCACAGGAGTTCCTCAGGCCATTGGATTCTTTCTTGGTGGGGGAACCCCGTGTACTGGGCCTGGCCATGGTACCTGGCCACCACGTCGTTTCTATTGAGGTGGAGAGGGAGAGCCTGGCAGGGCCTCCCTATCTCTGACCTCGATCACGCATGCTTTGCAGACCATTAAACCAGGAATGAAGAAAAAAAAAAAGAATGAGCCAGGAAGTGCTGGGTGGGAGACATGAGTGGGAGAGAGATGACACAGGAAAGCTGGAAAGACTGCCTGATGACAATGACATTTCCGTGGTGCCAGTCTATGCTGTTGTGACATTTTCTGCAGCCCCAGTTATCTGCTGGATATCCCGGGAGGGCAGAGAGATGGTTGGAATGATGCTGGATTGAGGCTTTGCTGGGCATCTTTGGCACAAAGCCACAGGACTGAGGAAAGTTGCACAGTTGCAAAAGTGATCATTCATGAGGCTGGACTGGAAAGGGACAGAACTGAATTGAGAAGGGTGCCCAAAAGAAGGAAAAATAAGAGGTCATATGCTGTAGGTCTTGAGGTCTAAGAGCAATATATGTATGTGTCCATAGACACATGCCCCCTTCACTGGGTGTGTCATATCACTGAATATCTTCAGATCCCAATTTCCACTGTGCTTAGGAAGGTGATGAAATTAGACTAAATAATCTCTATTTTATTTTTATTTTCTTGGTTCTCATGTCTGATGATGCTATGTTTGTCCTGGATGATTACAGGTTGTGAGGAGGAAGAAGCAAGGCACTAATTAAATTCTGAAAGAGCCATTGTAAAATATTTTAAAGTTATTTCACATAATTTAAGTTATGAAGGGTGTAAAGTTTGGAGTGTGAAAATGTATGTAAAAAATGTATGCATGCAAACGATGGTGTAATTAAGAATCTTATTTATTCTTAATATACTAGGGAGGTTGAAAGTGAATGGCTTGTTATCTCAGGGATAAAAGCTATATAGCATAATGGAAATAATAAAATCTGAAAGTTTTGAAAAAGTCAGGAACATATTGAGGAGAATGGTAAAGCACATTACAGAATAATGGGAGCAATGGGAGGAAGGGAAAACATAAAGATTTGAGTTTATTTTTAAACATTTTCTAGGTTTGACAGGTATTGGGAATTAAAATATTAAATATTTTAAATAAATATTAAAATACATAATGTAATATATAAAATATAACGTAATGTGTGATGTATGATAAAATCATATAATAAATGAGTGAGTTGATTTTAAAAATAAAGGGTCCAAAACCACAGAAATGCTGTTCTCTGTGTAAGCTCTCTGAAGGCTGAGGCCATACCCATTTGATTCACTGCTGTGTCTTGGGCAAATAGCTCTGTGCTTGACATCTAATTTTGCTCACCAAATATTTGAGGAACAGGAAAACAGATGTAAGATGGTATTGTTCCTATTTTCCTAATGTACAAAGAGATAAACAGGAATAACAAATTTAACCTGGAATTTTTAGAATTTTTGTCTTGGCTATAGAAGAGAGTATGTGATCATTATGAGACCAAAGTAATCACTTTAATTATTAAATAATCACTAATGGAATAATATGCCTAATGTCTACTGATAGAACAGTAAGTTTTTGGTGACCTCTGACCACACCATATCAAATATACTGATTGTATCTTATTAGATTTTTTTTTTTTCTTAAGGTCCTTAAAACGTCTGCAGACTATGTTAAATATCCTTTCTCTTTCAAGGACATAATAAGAAGACATCTATATTTATTCTTACATAAAACTAGACTTATACTCCATTCCCTCCAGCACTCAGTCCTATATTATATCCAGTAAATAGTGGAATGAAAATTTTTAAGACTGGCAAGATGGAATTTGTAATTGAAGTTTTGTTGTTGTTAAGGCCAAAAAATAGTATTTCATTTTCTATTGAATTATAAAATCATATATTCTAAGTACTATGTCTATTCGTAGATTCTCGTCAGTTAAAAAAGAAGATAGGAAAATAATTGGAAGGAATTTGTATAAAGTGCAAATAAGCTACAACAGCATGGGATAAGCTCATTTAAGTTAATGGTATGAATGATCTTCATAATCAATGATGGAAATGACATGATGCTTTTCTCAGGGAAGAAATGAAACCACAAAAAAATGGGAAGCATTGTTTTCAAAATGGATGCTAATGTGGTACCACATTTCTCACTCCAGATAGGAGCCTGAATACTAAGTAGAAAATTAAACAAAAATATGCATATAGCAAGCCTATGTGCTTGCCTCCTGCACTGGAGAATAAACAGAATACCATAACTGAGCACAAGCTTTTAAGTAGGGAGTCGATCTACAGAAATTGTCCTTTGCCCCGTAAGCATACAATTATGTCATTAAATCACAATCAGGGGTGTTAGAAGGAGTAATTAGGAATATATTGTAGGGTTGCGCACTCATAAGAAATTTTTTATGGGAGGGAAAAAATCTTAAGCATTCACTGTGGGGAAGTCTCCTAAGACTTTTGAAAATCAAGCATTTCAGCCCATGAGGCTTTTATTTAGCAAGAACAGCCAGAAGAGGTGAGTGTGTGTGTGTGTGTGTTTTACCTTAATTTGAAGGTTGTTTAAACGTCTTGCCTTTCTCATCTCTGGCCTAACATGTTCATAGGAAAACAGACGAAATGTTTCCAAAGGGATAGTTAGTAAGTTTTTCTTTATATTTTTCTTAAGGAATCAATTCCAAGTTTCAGTTTGAAATCATGCCAGGGGCTTCATCTGGGTTCTTCAAGATAAATCCTGACACTGGAGAGGTAGTGACCACCACCATACTTGACAGAGAAGTTCGGGAAGTTTTCACCCTTCGAGGTAAGGGATGCCTGACTATGGTACAAACCAAAGTAGGCAGCAGGAGGTTAGTGGTGAAATTTTACATGTCTGTAGAATGTCTTTAGTAAACTGCTATTGACCCAGTGCTACCCAGTTAGTTTGGTCTGATGCAGCAGTCTAGTTGGGGCAATATATTTTAGGCATGAATTTATGGCCACAGTCTGTGCCATCTTTTATTTCACATCAGTACTCGTGCGAGATGGAGGAGTCCCTTCATTATCTGGCACCACGACAATTCTCTGTACTGTAGAAGATGAGAACGATCACGCACCAGAGATTATTGTCCCCGGTCATGACATTGAGGTTCTGGAAAACCAAGAGCCAGGGGTTGTCTACACTGTTTTGGCTTCTGATATGGATTCTGGCAATAATGGAGCTGTCAGGTATCATGTAATTGGTAAGTATTTTCTCCACTAAAATTCTCCTCATGACACTGACTGAGTTGACACACTGGTGATTATTCTGTATTTGGTGTCTATTGCAGGGTCTACAGAATACATGCTCAGTAAAAGCTATTTGGTGCCATATGTGTCCTTTCCACAGACAGCCTGAGCCACTGGCTTCCAAAGTCTTAAATCTCCCCTCTGCAACTATTGTGAATTTTTTGTGGTAATGTTAGTGGGTGTGTAGATGGAATATATAACTTTTTTTCTACTTTTGTGTCTTTTATATGATCACTAATATTCTTATTATTTTGAGCCAGCAAGACTTTTGTCAGTCTTTTTTATTTTATTTTATTTTTTTTTTAAGATTTTATTTATGTGACAGAGAGAGACACAGCGAGAGAGGGAACACAAGCAGGGGGTATGGGAGAGGGAGAAGCAGGCTTCCCACTGAGCAGGGAGCCCGATTCGGGGCTCGATCCCAGGACCCTGGGATCATGACCTGAGCCGAAGGCAGACGCTTAACGACTGAGCCCACCCAGGCGCCCTCTTTTTTTTTTTTTTAAAGATTTTATGTATTTATTTGACAGAGAGAGAGAGCACAAACAGGGGGAGTGGCAGGCAGAGGGAGAGAGAGAAGCCGGCTCCCCGCTGAGCAAGGAGCCTGATGGAGGACTCCATCCCAGGACCCTGGGATCATGACCTGAACCCAAGATAGACGCTTAACCAACTGAGCCACTCAGGCACCCTGCATTCTTTTTTATTTTATTTTATTTTATTTTATTTAAGATTTTATTTATTTATTTGACAGAGAGAGAAATAGCAAGAGCAGGAACACAAGCAGGGGGAGTGGCAGAGGGAGAAGAAGGCTTCCCGCAGAGAAGGGAGCCCAATGCAGGGACTCCATCCCAGGACCCTGGGGATCATGACCTGAGCCAAAGGCAGTTGTTGTCAGTCTTTTCTTAAATGGAACCTGGAGGACACAGAGATAGACAGTTCCCAGATCTGAACACCAGTATAACACTTAAGAACTATAACCATACCCCACCCTTGATCAGAGTCTGTAGGAACTTCTACCCAGAAGATAATTTTGTGATATGGCTCCCTTTGGATCAGAAGCATAAAAATTTCTGACAAAATAATGGTAGCATTTGTATGGAGAGAGCCACATCTTCTTATTCATCTAAAAGAAAAGGTGATTTTTGGTATATGTCATAGAATGATAGGAGTTGAGGAGAGAGTAATGCTTCAGAGACTGCATCTGATGGGGAGAAGGTGCTTTTAGATCTTGTAAAAACAGTTTTGGGACTAGCTTCTGAAAGCTATCACTTTCTATTTGCTAAAAATTCTAGAACGCATGGCATTTTCTATGTGCCACCCATTTTACTGCAAAATGAGAATAGCTTTATTGCCTTTTTACCTGATTATAAAAGTGATATATAATTGGTATAGAATATGTACATATTTATGAAGAACAAAAGTAGTAACACAAAAATTTATATCTTGCAGAGGTAACTCATTTATTATTTTGAAAAACACTTCTCCATGAACCTTGGTGAATGGAGACATCAATTTTATATATATTGGACAATTTATATATGCTACTTTGTTATCTCATTTTTTAAACTCATTATTTATTTATTTATTTATTTATTTATTTATTTATTTATTTAATCAGAGAGAGAGAGTGAGCACAAGCAGGGGGAGTGGCAGGCAAAGGGAGAAGCAGGGTCCCTGCTGATCAAGGAGCCCAGTATGGGACTTGATCCCAGGACCCTGGGATCATGACCTGAGCCGAAGACAGCCACTTAACCAGCTGAGCCACCCAGGCCTCCTTAAACTCATTTTTTAATATACTATATGAATCTTTCATATCAGTAAATATACACATATGTTAGCATTTCTAGTGATGCCTCTTCTTACTGCTTATGTAAAATATCACTTAATTCATCCATCCCCTTTTATGGTCTTTTAGATATTGAGTATAATAGCAGTCTTACTATTATAAAAGTGTTGCAGTTGAACACTTACCCAATTATTTCCTTATGATAAATGTAAGTGGAGTTATCATGTCCAAGGGCATATATATTTTAAATGTTTATGTGTATTGTCATACTTTCATCCAGAAGAATGATACCCTTTCAAACTAACTTGTGTAAGTAAGCCCAATTTTACTTCTTTTCTACCTGTTGCATTGGGTACTTTCCTTTGTAAACTCCACTTGTTTTCTAGAACTTTCCAAACAATCTGTGATTAAGGACCAGGGTTTGAATTTTTTTTTAATTTTCAATCTGTTGTGCACTGAAACTTTTGTAAAATACAATAAATATGAATTACCGTGAGGAAGAAAACAAAAAGGCATACACAATGCAAGCCTCAGGGTTTTTTTTAATCTATTATGATATTATGCAGACATAAAATTATTCTGTCAAGTCTGTATAAGATTTTCTAAATGCTCACTTTCAAATTCTGGGGTTTATCTTGTCAAGCACTGATTACAAACAATCCCCAGAGTGCCACCCATCCCCCTTCACTGTATCAGGGTTTGCTCATTTGCTTCTTCTTCCCATACTGTCAAAGTTTCCCCTTCTGCTGGTTTTACCCATCAATATTTACCAGTCCTTCCCATCTTGAAAAAAGACTTCCCTCAGATACATCCCTCCATTGTCTCTTTTCCTTCACAATCAAGCTTCTTAAAAATCATTTGTACACTCTGGTTTCTGTGTCTTTACCTTACTTTGGAATATGTACTGAAACTGCCCTTGCAAAAGGCACTTAGGATCTTGTTGCTAAATCCAGTGGATCCCTGTCATTTCTTAATTTAATTGTACTGCTTTGTGCCCTTGTGCACCATGCCCTGGACACTTGGTCCCACCTTGACTTCAGAAAGTCACTTTCTCCTGATTCTTCTTCTGCCTTTCTAGACAAGCCTTCCCAATGTCCTTGTTCTGTGGGTGGTCCTCTGACTTACTGGAGTTTCCAGGGTGTTTTGTGCTTTTTTTTTTTTACTTTGCTCATGGACACACTCTTACCATGTCATTTCATCCAGTCCTCATCTTCAGCTACTGCTGACACCCTTATATCTCCCTATCTTTATCTGCATCCGAGATCTAAGTCCCATTAAAGGACATTTTTTTTAAAGTAAAATAATGACTTTCACACAATTATAAAATTAACAACTGCCGAAGATATTTTATTTATTTTATTAAGTCACTGATTAATGAGCAAACTAAAAAGATGTTAAAATTGGTCCAAGGAGGGGCGCCTGGGTGGCTCAGTCTTTAAGCGCCTGCCTTTGGCTCAGGTCATGATCCCAGGGTCCTTGGATCGAGCCCCGCATTGGGCTCCCTGCTCTGCAGGAAGTCTGCTTCTCCCTCTCCCACTCCCCCTGCTTGTGTTCCCTCTCTCGCTGTGTCTCTCTCTGTCAAATAAATAAATAAATAAATAAATAAATAAATAAATAAATAAATAAATAAAATCTTTTTAAAAATTAAAAAAAAAAAAATTGGTCCAAGGAGAATTCCAGGACACACGCACGCGCACACGCACGCACACACACAGAGGAAATAAGGAATTCTGAAATGCAGACGAGGTCTAGCTGCAGGACAATAACCAGTGACATTCCACTAGACATAATTAATTTGCATTTCTGTGGACAAGAATCACTGTTATCAGCTTTCAACAATTTACAGAGTGATAAAATAGATGGAGCACATGAAGAGAAAAGCCAACTCAAATGGCAAGGCCAGACCCGATATTCAATAATCTTTTTTTTTTCACCCTAGCACATCCACTTATCTTTCCCTCCCATTTCAAATTGTTTCACCTCAGAGACCCCGTTGTTGTGCCCAACAGCATTGCATTACCAGTGTGTCCCCAGCTGCACTCAGCACCCCCTCCTTCACACCGTCCCGCATCACAGTCTGGCTTCTCCTACAGTCTCTGTCGGTAACCTCGCTCAACTTACCCTTAGTGGAATCTTGAAAAACCATGTACTACCAACACACATATTTTTAAGTAATCGACTAAAAATTTTTATTAGAAGTTTAACTAGTATCTCTCGGAGTATCATAAATATTGACATGTTAAGATAAATGGCTATATCACCTTTTAAAAATATCAAATAGAATAAAACATACTTTTTAAAAAATATATTTGAACAACTTCCCAGGCAGGGGAAGGTTCCCATTCAAGGCCAAGTCAGGCTCCTTACCTGCCTTCAGTCCCACGGGCCCTGCCCAAGCCAAGGGCACCTGCGGGGTCAGGCCCACAGCTGGGAGGAGTCCCATGCTCTCAGACACTGAGAGACCCAGACATCTTTCCAGAAGCACTCTGGACCTGCAAAGCCACCTGCCAAGGCACCATACTTAAGAGATAGACTAGGGAGGATGCTAAAGGTAACAGTGTTAAGGAATGTGGAGGGGCGTCTGGGTGGCTCAGTCGGTTAAGCGTCTGCCTTCGGCTCAAGTCATGATCCTAGGATCCTGGGACTGAGTTCCCGCATCGGGCTCCTTGCTCAGTGGGGAGCCTGCTTCTCCTTCTCTCTCTGTTCCTCCCCCTTCTCATGCTCTCTGTCTCTCAAATAAATAAAATCTTAAAAAAAAAAAAAAAAAAGGAAGGTGGAGAAGACAAACTCACATGATTTTAGGTGATTTCTCAGGCAGAACAACTTTAGGAATAAGAATATGTAAACTGAGCTTCTGGAAATTACCTTAAAACTACCAGTTTCCAGATACTCTTTAGAAAACTTCAGATAACCCCAGGGGTACTCTTACCTCATTTTAAACACAACTGGTCTAAACACCCTTCACTCTTTCACCAAACCCCATCATGAATCCTTCATCCCTTCCTTCTTACTTTTCTCCTTAATATCTTTGGGATGTGTCCACTTCCTCTATGCATGTCTTCATTTAGAACATCCCTGGTGCTCAAGCAGATTACTGTAATAGCCTCCTAACTTTCCTGTATTCTAACCAAGCTTTGACATTGCTGCTCAGCCCTCCTCCCAAAGCAGAAATGTGATTCATGACCCTTTCTCCTCTAAAATCCCTCAGGAGCTCCCTAAGGATGTTAAGGCAGACTCTTCAGCAGTATACACAGGGCACTTCATGATTTAACCCCCTGCTTATCTTCTAAATTCACGTCTTCCCGGCTGCCAACCCTCTCCCTGCCCTCTCCACGCAAACCCCCAGGGAACCCTGTGTTCTAGTTACACTGAAACACTTGTAGCCTTTAAGTCCTCATATTCCTAAGACTTCCCTCAGGCTCTCCCCTCTGCCTAGAACACACTTTCTAAAACTTTTAGCCAGGCTCCCACCTCTTTAGGAACCAGTTTTCATGTCACTCTTTCTAATAAGCATTCCTGCCCATCCTAACACAGGACTGTGTGTCCTTCCTCTATGCTTCTGGGCATTCTGTGCGTATGATTTTCACACCACACTTTAATGTCCCAGGACTGACCCAAATTCCTCCTGGACTGCAAATGCTTGGAGACTGGGATCATGCCTTACTGCCTTCATATTCCCAGCATCCAGCACACACTTGGCATGTGGCAGGTTCTCCTTAAATGTCTGCTAAGTGAATGAATCAATTTATCAATGACAAATGCCACAGAAATGTAGGTTTGTCTGATCACCCCTATATATAGTTTGGTACAAATTAGTTGTGTTTTATGAACAAAATACAAATGCAAGTCCCTTCTCCTCAGCCCCCAACACTGCTTATGACTGTTGTTTTCTTGAATGCTGTTCTACTTCTTCCCCACATGCTGCTGGCAGACTCCAGTAAATTCCCACTCAGTATTTTATTTTATATTTTATTTTATTTTAATTTTATATTTGACACAGAGAGAGAGAGTACAAGCAGGGGGAGCAGCAGAGGGAGAGGGAGAAGCAGGCTCTCTGCTGGGGCTCAATCCCAGGACCCAAAGGCAGACGCTTAACTGACTGAGCCACGCAGGCGCCCCAATCCCACTCTATTTGGAATAGGGTGCTTCATCCAAGAATATGCCCCTCATCCAAGATATGGCCAACAAGCCACTGAACTGTATTTTTCCTAATTTTTAGTATGACTTTAAAATATCTTCTCTGTGTTCAGGTTTAACTTTGATTCTGCTTGGTACAATGCGTAAGAGTAAAGGGAAGGTTGTTTTTTTTTTTGAGGATACAGAGAAGACTAAAACCTCATCATTCCTTATGTCAGGGAAGAAACAGACAAGTGTTCCCCTATCTCTTAGAGAAGTGTTATGAGTCATGCACAAGGTACCTGGGAATGTGGAAGAGAATCTCACTGCATCCACAATACTACTATCCCCCTGTTAATTTTTTATTGATATCTAAAAATGGACATTATATCCTGTTTCTTATCTCTTCCTGGTATTGTTTTATTTCAAATAAAACATACATTTTAATTATCTCAAGAGGAAAAATGTATGAATATAAAAAGTTGTAAATGCATACACAAAAATCCACACTGCTGCAAATCAGTCAAAGCGAGTGTTTTAATTATTTGAATTAAGAGAAATATTGAATTATATTATTCTGTTTATCCCCTGATAATAGAGCCTTCATGAGGGCAGGGACTCTATCATGTTCACTGTTATATCCTTAATACTTACAAAAGTGCTAGGATGTAATATTCATGAAATAAATATTGAAATGAATGAAATCCTATATATATATGAATATTCATATATTCATTCATTTATATATGTGAATATTCATTCATAAAAATGAATGAATCCTATATATATATATGTCTCATCATATATATGACGGATATATATCACATATATATGAATCATATGTATATGTATATGTTTATGTATATATAGCTAGCAAAGGGCTGCTACTTCTTCAGTTCCAATGAGTTTTGAATTTGAATGTGTTTTCTTTAACAGATGGAAATACAGACGAATACTTTGCTATTAATGAGACATCAGGAGAACTCTCAACCACTCGTGCTTTGGACCGGGAACAAGTCAGCAATATTACCCTAGTCATCCTGTGCTCTGATCTTGGGGATCCACCGAGGAGCTCTCTAGTGCAGTTGCAGGTTAGAGTTTTGGATGACAATGACCATGGCCCGTCCTTCCCCATGCTGCATTACCAGGCCTCCGTGAGAGAAGATGCTCAAGTGGGAACAGTGGTTCTCGTGCTGTCTGCCGTGGACAGGGATGAAGGCCTGAATGGACAAACTGAGTATTTTCTGGTGGATGAGGCTTCTGGTGCATTCACCATTGATGCCATGGCAGGTACATTGAGAACCCGCCACACGCTGGACCGAGAAGCCAGATCTCAGCATACATTTAGGGCTGTGGCCAGAGACTGTAGTGTCCAGGGCTCAAGAAGCACCACGGTCATTATAGAAGTACATGTCACGGATGTAAATGACAATGACCCAGTTTGGGTGCAGAACCCCTTGGAGATTTTTCTTTCTCCCCAGTCGCCTACTAACCAGACAACTGCCATTCTGACAGCCAGTGACCCTGACTTGGGACCCAACGGAACTGTCATTTTTAGTTTTGCAGAGACCCAGTCAATGTTTTCTATTAATAAATATACAGGAGAAGTTCAACTTCAGCACTGCCCATCTTCTGAATATTTTCCAATCTGGCTGCAGTTAAAAGTTAGGGACCAGGGGGTTCCAGCTAGGACGACCACTGGCCTCTTAGTCGTTCACATGGAAGGGGAAGATGTAAAGATTTCCTTCAGCCACCATCTCTATAAAGCGACTGTGACCGAAAATTGTGATGCAGGTGAGTGTCCCCTCAAGTTTTTATATATTGTACCTGTTTGGGCAAAATACTTAAAACTAAGGATTATACCACAAGAGTGCTATTGCGGATTCAGTCACAAATTTCTGAGTTCAGCCAATTTTTAGTATGCCGATGTTCATCCATAGTGCAGTATTAGAACAGTACCTTCAAATATAGTAAAATACACACACATACACACACAACACATACACACACACACAAACCCTTAATGACAACAAAGAGTAAAAATACTGAAAAATAAATCATTTAGGGCTTTTGAAGTTTCCGTTAATATAGGTTTACAACCTCAAAAAAAAAAACCCTTTATTTAAGTGTATCTGAATTCCTTAACAAGTGTACATTTCCTAAAGTACTTCCTTAGAAGTACAATAAAAGAGGAGGTATGTTGTGGTTAAATGCTTGGGCTCTGCCTGAGTTTAAATCCGAAGTAAGCCACTGTGCCTCCTTGGGCAGCTGAATCTGTCTGAGCCTCAGTTTCCTAATCCATAAGGTAGGAAGAAGAATTGTGCCTACCTCGTTAGGTTCTGGGGGCTGAATTAGCCAGTTCACGTAAAGCACTTAAAACAGCGTCTGACACATAGTAAGCATGTAATAAATAGAAACTACTAATACTAGTATCATTATTCACTTTGATACCATCAGCAGTGAGTGCAGTAAAATGTGATACTCAAAGAACTCAGTGCAGTTCAGACCAGACTTCTGTGAACAGTAACTGTTTTTCCTAGTAACACTAGATTCTTCTCCAATTACTTCCTTACATTTATGCCATAATGGGAAACGTAAATAAAAAATCAGTTTTAATTATCTTTCTAACCCAAAAGTGAAAAAACTTCCTTATAGATACTTGTAAATTGAAAGACATTTGACCTGGGTAATTATATCCAGCTAGAGAGTGGAGAGATGCATCTACTGATTCTTTCCACCCACCAGGCAAAGCACATGGACTCGAAGAGGAAGAGCTTGGTTGCTAAAGGTGCGCTGTGCGCTGTGCATTGATTGATTCACTTCATAGTGAAAATATCTATGTTATACATGTCATACTGCCTTCTCTATGAAAAGAGAAGATTCATTAATACTGAATATTAAATTAGGGTTGTTTTCAGTTGCAGATTATTAACGTGACTTTGACCCTTTTCAGAATTATGGTTATCCCATAGGTTGCTTCCTCAGAAGGCCTCTCATTGATTCTAAACATAATTAAGAGTCAATTGCCGTTATCTGCATTAAATGGAATAATGTGACTTCCAAACTAAGTCAGAAATTTCCAACTTATATTCTTATGTGTAATGAGACTTCCACAGAAATGTTAAATGTTAAACAAATGTTAAACAAATGAGATATTCCTTAGAGCTATATTTCTATTACTCTTAAGAGGCATTCATTCCAACATCAGAGCAGAGCCTGATGGAAAGTAAAGTTAACGTTTTCTAAATTATATAGCACAAAATACAGTACATTAATCAATCTTGAAATTGATCTGATAAAATTACAGAATCTTTGGGGCTCCTGGGTCAGTCAGTTAAGCATCTGCCTTTGGCTCAGGTCATGATCCCTCTGTCCTGGGATCCAGCCCCGGATCCAGCTCCTTGCTCAGCGGGGAGCCTGCTTCTCCCTTTCCCTCTGCCTCTCCCCCCGGCTTGTTCTCTCTGTCTCCCTCTCTCTCTCTCTCTCTGTCAAATAAATAAGTAAAGTCTTTTTAAAAATTACAGAATCTTTGAGCCCAGCCTTCATCTGCAGTGCAAATATGAACATTTCTCTAAATATCCTTGACACTCGGTCTTTCCGTCTCTCCTTGAATATTTTGGTGACTGAGAATATTTGAATATTTAGAAGGGTGGTTCTTGAAATTGGGTGTGAAACAAATGATCTGTAACCCACCTGTGGAGGTTCTGCCTCATTAGGTCTGGGGTCCAGGAATTGTTTTTAACAAGCTCTGCAGGTGATTTGACTGCAGGGCAAAGTTGGAAAATCTCTTCATTTGGGAAGTCATTCATATGTGGAACCTAACTCTGCCTCCTTTTTGTCTCTCCGTAAATCTAGTTCTGCCCTCGGGAGCACTCCACTGCTCGACGCAGTCACTCTTCAGAGATTTTATTTGCTCCTTCCATGCATTTTTCTTTAATGACTATCAAGTGCCAGGTACTTTTCTACTGGGATATATTAGTGAACTTGTGAGGCTTACATTCTAGCAGGGATAGAGGGACAGTGTCAAAGAACCTAATAAATAACTTTCGTCTATTTAGATGGTGACAAATAGTAGGTAAGGGCGGGCATCATGGAGCAGGTACATTTGGGCAAAGACCTCAAGAGAGAACACAGTGTATTTGGGGATAGGGTATTTCAGGAAAAAAAAGGGAAAAGGTAGTGGTACCCTTTCTGGTTTGTTCAATGAACAGCAAAGAGGACTGTGTGACTACAGCAGAGTAAACAAGGGCAAGAATAGTAGGAAAGGAGGTCCAAGGACTAACAGACCACTGGGGGGACTTTGACTTTTCCTGAAGTAGTTTCCCCTTCTTTAATTCAGTCAGTTGTCCTTCACATAATAGGGTTTCCAACCACTACTAGTGAACATTCACATCCAGTATAATAAATTCGGCAGAGTAATAGGCATTAAATATATTACTCCTTGAAAGAATTAGCAAGGACATCATCATTGTTATCACGCTTGTGACATTAGTGAATGACGTTTCTAAATATTAAGTAATGTGCATGGGCTTTCCCTAATTGTTAGAAGATTCTTTCTCAATTCACCCAGGATCAACTTGTTTATAGAATCAAACCTAAGTAAAAGTCAATATTGAAGGCACCCCAAAGAAAACATTTCAAGATGAAATTAAGTTATGGATTAGTAAGTATAATATTTGTGGTTGAATTCAGGAGTGAATTAAAATCACACTAATAAAAACTGTCGTGGAAGTGCAAGATTTGCACCTGTTTTCATTTTCACCAGGTGCCATTCATTGGTATGTCACAGGTTCACTCTGTTGATAGGAGGCAACCATTATGGCAGGGAATGACCTTGATTTTAGCCTGTTGCCCATCACTCAGGCAGCGTCTCATTAAATCTGTACACCTTCAATCTACTCGAAGCCATTACAATTGGATTAATCAATATGGTTAAGAGTAACCTAGTCTGAGATAAAAAGTGAGGGCAGAAGACAGTGAAGACCAAATTACTTTCTCACCTCTGAAGGTGGGCCTCCTGTTAGAGATTCAGTCAGGAAAGCTAATAAATAAATGGATGGGAAGCCTTCATCCTGCTGTCTGCATCACTGTGTTTTTTGTTTTTTTCACTCCTGGTCAGAGTTGTCTTTCTTAATCCTCTTGTATTTAGAATTACTGAATTAGGGGCACCTGGGTGGCTCAGATGGTTAAGCGTCTGCCTTCAGCTCAGGTCATGATCCTAAGTTCCACATCTGGCTCCCTGCTAGGCAGGGAGCCTGCTTCTCCCTCTGCCTCTCTCTCTCTCTCTGACTCTCATGAATAAATAAATTTAAAAAAATTTAGAATTACTGAATTAAATTTGACTGTTACTTTTTAATAGAACTTAAGTCTCTAAAAATCTATTTATTAAATCTTACACATAAAGACAACTAGAAATACTTGGGCAGTACTACGATCTTGTGGGATCCATAAACATTCAGGTAAGTATACATTTCAAGACATCTGAAGCAACGAATTGGGACCTCACTGTGAAAAGTAACTATAACATGAGTAAAGCATCAAGTCTACATTGAGAGAGAAGCTAAACTTTGGGCATCGAATAGGAAGGAGAAAGAGAGAAGGAAAAGATGGCAGTAAAGTATGCTGTTGAATTTGATTAGAAGCAACTAACCTACACCTGGCTCGGCAGGATTTCCTAGCCTCCTGTGAAAAACAGTGTCAAGGTGCATAACGTATTGATTGACATTTCAAGCTGGCCAAAACTTTGCCTCAACCCGAATTCAGTTCAGACTGCCAGATCATATCCTAGACACCAGAAGGTGATTTTTTTGTTTTGTTTTGCTTTTGAATTCCAGTGGTTTTAAAAGACTGTAAATCCTTTGTTTAGTGGCTAGAATGGCCTTGATATAAATTATTTAATAACATTTTGTAGCTTCCAGGATTATTTCCTCCCAGATATGTCTTCGGTTTTTTAATTTTATTTTCAAATGAAAAATATGTGCTTGTTGGAGGTTTAAAGTTTCTGTGGGTTACTCAAATATCCTATCAGTAGGTATCACTTGACATCCTGAATGAATTATTTTTTGTATTATCATAAATTTTCATCACCCCAAACTAATTTTAACATTCAATATTCTTTTAAGAAAATAAAAAGTTAAAACAAATAAGTCCAATGTATTTGTATTTGTTTAACATTTCTTTCTTGGAAAGCCCACAGGTTTGAGTCTTGATTTACATTGCATTCATATGGGATGCCTGGGTGGCTCAGTCGGTTAAGCCTTTGGCTCACGTCATGTTCCCAGGGTCCTGGGACCAAGTTCCACGTCGGGCTCCCTGCTTGGTGGGAAGTCTGCTTCTCTCTCTGCCTGCCACTCCCCCTGCTTGTGCTCTCTCTCTCTCTGACAAATAAATAAAAATCTTAAAAAAAAGAACCAACATTGCATTCATCTACTGACAACATTAGACTTAAAATCAACTGTTTAAAATGATAAATAGTTCAGGGCGCCTGGGTGGCTCAGATGGTTAAGCGTCTGCCTTCGGCTCAGGTCATGATCCCGGGGTCCTGGGATCGAGTCCCGCTTCGGGCTCCCTGCTCCTTGGGAGCCTGCTTCTCTCTCTCTCTCTCTCTCTGTCTCTCATGAATAAATAAATAAAATCTTAAAAAAAGAAAGAAAATGATAAATAGTTCAGTATATAGTTCCCATTTGAAAAGCAGCTCTTTGACAGGTAAAATCTCCTAAAGAGTTGGCCATGGTAAGTTCCCCTACTCAAAGAAAGAGTCACTCTACAGGATACCATTTGCCTGTAAGGGAGAG